TGAGCAATTAACAGTATCAACCCAGTTGATAAAACCAAATTATCTTGCTATACTTCCCACCGACGCAGCACCACATTTTCTTTAGAAACTTAACCCCTCTAAAAAGAATATCATTTGTTTCTTCAGCTATTTGGAGCACGACGTTGTTGACAAAAGAACGAAAACAAGTTGTGCCTCAATAACTGCAATTTTACCAATTGAGGTTAATCTCTTGTTTCTCCAGTTATTTAAGATATCCTCTACCTTATGAACAACCTTTCCTTCGTAATTCTTCTTCTTACTTTCTTCTTTCGTGTCTAAAGCTGGTGATTGTAGAACTAGAAGAAAATCACTGATTTGGGAAAATCTGAGTAGTCTCTAATGTATTAAGTTAGTAGAATTCTACTAGTATACTAATGCAAATGCTGTAATCTGATTGGCTGAGCCATTGCACACTATCGGCCATTAGTGTGCAGTGGCTTGGTGTGCTCGACAAAATTGCAACGTTTTCTCGTTTCTGCGAAGTTTTGAAAAAACATTTAGAAATAAATGGATAATCAAATTCCCGAGAAGACGAAAAGGAAGGAGTTAACAGTTTCTTGAATTAAAAAAGCTCAAAATTTTTGAAAGAAACTGATAAGAGCGCGTACACGTACACAATGCCAAATTGACAACTCATTGAGTCCGCGCGAATTCTCTAAAGTGTGAATACTAAGACAAGCGTGAATACTAAGACAAGAAATAATTGGAATCGCTATTTGAAGGAAATTTCAGCTAAAATTCTACTAAAACAATTAGATTATTCGCTCTCGTTTTCTATGAAGCGATAGTTGAATCGGCCTTCGGCCTCATCAACTATCACCTCATAGAAATCTCGAGCTCATAATCTAATTATTAATTATTATCTCTTGTTAGACTGATATCGAAATCATGATTACGTGTTATTTAATCTTCAGGCACTCGTGCTCCCCGGGTTTATCTATTTTGTAAGAAAACTCTGGTAGACTTGCAAAACACATCTCTTCCAAACGCTTGTTCATTTACTTGACATACAGCATCCCATCACTGTTACGATATATTCCACGACTATCTTTGGGATCCCCGGGACAAGGATAACCATACAGGGCTCGTATTGAACCTGGTTGAAATAAAGTTCAAGACAGTGAGTCAATGTACAATGCAGTGAGTTAATAAATGACTGAAGAATTGCGACGATGATATTCATGAGAATTTCCCAACTCAATTTTAACCAGCGGGCGTACAAAGGGCCTGATAAATGGCACCACCCCCTTCTTCTCACCTTTCCCAGAGGTTTCTTTTTCAGAATTCTTTTAAAAAAGAGAATTGATTTACTCTATGATGCTGGAAGTTACAGTGGCTGTTGCTTTATCCCTTGCCAAAAATTCATAACGTCAGCATTTTCTTTGCGCTGAGCCAAATTTACAGGTCAAAATTTACAGCAAAATACTCAAGTTACATTAAAGTAAATGACGCGATCATGATACCTTGCTTGATTTACAAATTAAGAATCTGTTGGACGCTGTCTGTAGTGCGGAAAGTAGCCAGAGAGCGTTTCTTAAAAGGGATGAGATCTATAGAGCATTTTTGTTCTAATGGCGCCGATGATTGCACATCCCGTTTAACCGGCATCACACGCGTAAATATCAGAATCTCTCTATAGTAAATAGCTATCTTGAAGTCAGTTTTTCTTGTTTTAAATCNAAATCGAATTTTCGACTCTTGCCGCGAAATTAAGAATTTGTCTGATTTTTACAGGCAGGCACTCTTAAGAGAATTGTCACCTTAAACTTTCGTGATATGAGAAAGGTAATGTCTGTTGTTTTCGGATTGTTAAAAATGTCATTTTGGGTACCGAAAAAAGGTCAGCTATCATTTTCGGAGAGACGACAATACCTAAGGTTTTCGGGAAATGGACAAAAAAAGCCCTAATAAATTCGATACGATAACCGAACAGATAAATTTTTTTAGCGCAACGTACAATTAACCTACAGAGCTTTAAAAGTACTCTAGATAGCCTAAAACAGCGTTTAAAAGCATTCGAGAGAAAACGGTCATTGGGTGCCCCTGGTACTGTACAACAATACTGTCCAAATATTTATTGGTTAAGTAATTCCTTTACCTTTTGCTGTGTTCTTGGCTTGAATTGGAAGGAATTTAAAAGAATATACACTGACCATTAGTTCATCATCCCTGCTTACCGCTATGACATCCGTGACTAATGCGATATCCCACATCAGTAGTAGTGCAGTTGTTGGTCTCCCACTCATATGGGTAAGAATGGGAAATGATGATGCGTGGACATCTGGAATGAATGAGGAAAGTATTTCTCTGAAACAGGGACGCAAAGGGAAATGTTTCTAGATCCAGAGCCCTTAGTTAACTTGACAGTAACTAAGCTCCCGCCCAGAGTTTTTAGATTTTCCCAAATGACAGACTAAATTACGATATCGAGATCCGTATCATCACAGATCAGCGGCTCAATTGATAACGCATCTTCGTCGGGTTATTATTCTGTTTCTGTTTACTGGATTTTTTTTTCAAACTGTTTCTTCTTTTCACAACTGAAAACATCACCAGCACTTAAATATTCAAGGCAGTCATTTTATTGCATGGGGAAGGATTTGTTTGTTACTAAAGTAGACGTTTTTCATATATTCGTCTCCCTTTTAGTACAGCTTATGAAACAGGTTTAAGCACAGCTAGGAATAGCGAAATAGAGAACGATCTACCACCAATTAATATTAAACCGTACAATATATACTAATACAAAACAAATAAACAAGGCACTTACTTTCCTCTGGCACAAGAAGAGTCGAACTGTTCAGGTCCACTTGGTATCTTAAATTCACAATAAAGAAGGAATCTGTTACGTGATCAAAGTTTTAATACAGTTCCTTTTAATACAAAAAAGCACTTCATTCCATACCTGGTAAAACACAACGACTTGAGTAACCAATACATCCACTCTGAATATTCCTAGAAAATATAAATATTTGAGATTTACAGAGAATATGAGATGCTAAGTCTAATCTGTCAAAACAGTACTTTAGAGCCCTCCAGAAATTGTTTGCTTAGTGACGTTTGCGAAGCAGCATGAATTCAGTAAAAAGAGGACTTTAGGAACACGAATTTGTTACTCCTTTACCCTTAAAGAGGAGGAGCTTTAGCCGTTGGTTGCTTTGCTGTTCTAGATATTTTTCAGTCTCTCTCACATGCAGTGTAACCATGTTTCTCTACCTTCATTATGTGCCAGTTTATGTATATCCTCGTCGCTTAGTTTCCGGCCTGTAATGTTATTCTCAGCAAAAGACACGCACAGTATTGAGTTAAGACAGCTGTTGACATTTCTTTGAAGATGATCGTTATTCTTGGAGCTGATACTCACAGCCAAAGTCCAGCCGCCACCTAGCAATTAAGAAAATCCATCGTTAACTGTTACCTTGCAAATTGGTGTTTAAGAGATCGCTAACAAGGTAACCGTAGCAGGAGGTCGTGCAGACAGGTAAGCTGTGTTTATGCTTGTCGTCTGCACGCCCACTGGACTTAACATGTTTTCAGAAGTGAGATCTTCCTACTATTAAGTTTATACACAGCTTACACTTTCGACCTGGAATTAATATGATAACATGTACTCACCATAATTCTTCATATCACAATAAACTTGGGCTTCTCTATTTCCAATATTTACCCAGTAATAACCACTTTCGGTCTGAGGAAATTCCTGGTATATCTCCGCGCAAGACTTGAAACCACCCTCCTAAAGAAAACAGACGGTATCTTGAGCACTGATGTGAAGCATTAACTACGTAGGGCGCATAGCGTAACCCTTTATTATTACTTTTGTTACTATTATTATTATAATTAGCAATTAGCTTATGAGCTCCATCTTTCTATGAGGTGATAGTTGAATAATCTAATATTTCTATTCTAATCCATATTTCTATGAGGTGATAAGGTGAATAATCGAATTGTTTTAGTAGAATTCTCACTTAAATTAACTTAAATAATGGTTTCCAAATATTTTTCGACGCATTATTGAACTTTACCCTTTAACAAAATCGCACGTATTGAATAGTCCTTGGTNATTAAGTTTATACACAGCTTACACTTTCGACCTGGAATTAATATGATAACATGTACTCACCATAATTCTTCATATCACAATAAACTTGGGCTTCTCTATTTCCAATATTTACCCAGTAATAACCACTTTCGGTCTGAGGAAATTCCTGGTGTATCTCCGCGCAAGACTTGAAACCACCCTTCTGAAGAAAGAAGACCGTATCTTGAGCTCTGATGTGAAGCGTTAACCACATAGGGTGCATAGCGTAACCCTTTATTATTACTATTGTCCCTATTATTATTATAATTAACAATTAGATTATTCACTCTCAATTTCTATGAGGTGATAGTTGATGAGGCCGAAGGCTGAATCAACTATCGCCTCGTAGAAATCGAGAGTAAATAATCTAATTGTTTTAGTAGAATTCTCACTTAAATTAACGGAAATAATGGTTTCCAAGTATTTTTCGACGCATTATTGAACTTTACCCTTTAACAAAATCGCACGTATTGAATTGTCCTTGGTAAATTTGCGGTTGTTTACGCGCGCGCACCAGTTTTTCAATAATTTCAAGTTTTTGAACCCATGAATCCGTTTCATGTCCTTCTTTTAGTCTTCTCAGGTATTTAATTATCCATTTACATCTAAACATTCTTCCAAAACTTCGGAAAAGCGATAAAAACGTCGCATTTCGTAGACTACCGACAGCTGCTGCACTCTAATGGCTGATGGTGTGCGAGTAGCTCAGCCAATCAGATTGCAGCATTTGCATTAGTATACTAGTAGAATTCTACTAATTGATATTATTAATAAACCTATATAGGCTCCGACCTTTTTGTGTTTTACGCTTNTAAAATAGAAATGTAAATGATATAGAAATCAACGTCGGTACTTTGGATATTCAAAATCAAAGTCAGTTCACGAACTTCTTTTTCTCCTTTTTTTCGTCGCTTGAAAATGCAATGTCAAAACAATGTGCAGGTGTTCCTTCAATCAGAATAAATTAAATTTTAGAAATGGCTTCTTCGAATATTTCTATTGAGGTTTCTAAAATAGTCAATCGCAATGTAAAATTCACCGCCACTTGGAGCCCATCCGCGGCATATAATCTTTTTTCCTTATCTTAGGCACGGCCAGGAATAGGTGTTTGTTTTCGTGTTTATGTTTCACAGTTATGAAAGAAGAAATAAAAAACCGAAAACGAATTTGAATTATCTGCTTGTGTTATCACAGCAGAATACTCTTTACCTCTCATTTTTCAGGCGTAGTAAATGCAACTGTTATAGCTTTCTTGTTATGAGAATCACGGATTGATTTTCAATTCTTTGCTTTTGTAGGGTGGCTACAAGCTCGTTATATATAGTCAAGCTTTTTTAAACAACCTTAAAATCACACAAAGATTAGATGTTTCTTAGAAACAAACAAGTTGACTGCAAACATGCATGGGGCGTCTTAGAAATCCCTATTCAAATAGGTTGCGAAATTTTAAAATAATTATAAAGTTTAACTAATCTATCTTACCCAGTGAAGCGCTTGGTAAGGCGTAGAGCGAGCTGTACAAATCTGAGGAAAATTTATATCCAGACTTTAGGAAAGCCACGAGACTGTCGACTGATAAGACAACGTTGACTGGAGCAACTGCGACAATTAGTCACCTGACCTACTTTCCATTGACACACATGCACACAATCTACTTTGGATAAATAGCTTTTGTCATTTACAGAAAGAACATATAGAAATCACTAGAGTGTAATAATAATTAAAATTCTCAGACCGTATTAAACAGTAGAGTAGTGTAGTATACAGCAATGTATAGGATACCGTGTAAGGCACTGGTCTGATAATTGGCCTTTATTTTATTTATTTGAAAACGTCTACCATCTGCTACATGATTTAGGAAAAATGATTATGAGACCAACTGTTGCAAAAAGCCCGCTACAGAACGAATTGGATTATTAAGTATATGCTATAAAACAGTACAGAGAAAATGAGAATAGAGTTCATTTCTACCCTAATAAACTAGCCGAATTTTGACTAAAAAACGAAATTTTACAGTCTGCTGCATCTAAATTCCATAAAAACTACGGAAAGGAATACATTCAGATGTTCTAAGATGTGTTTGAAAAGAACTTTTCCAAGAGGCTTTAGGCGTCGCTTGTTTACCAAATATGTATAGTGTATTTCTCGATTTTGCATCGTCTGCAGACAGAAACGTCACCAATAATTTTCAAAACGAATACATTTCTCTGAACTCCACCACAAATCTTCATCATGAAACAAAAAATAAAGTATCCTCAATATTCTCTGGAATTTAAATAAGTTTCGTACAGGAAGATTCTCTAGAATAACGTCACGAGACTGAAATTAAACTCACCTTGAATGTTTTTTTTTCTTCTTGAATTAGCTGCGCAAGCTCTTGTAAACAACTGAATTCTGTTCGGCTCCCTTTGTGCTTAAAAGCCGGGTAAGTTTTTAAATTATTGAAGAGGGAGGAACGCAATGTCTATCAGCAATAACATTGAAGACAACACTATCATATGGCAAATTTGGGCCGGTTTTTGTTACGAGACAAGAAAGGGTCAAACATTTGTAAGTCTTGATACTATGTAGGAGGGTCCTATTTCCCTTTTTTAAGTTGTAATACAGACTGTCAGTTAACGTTTATCAGGCACATAATTTCCTCTCACGGCTCATCGAGTTCCGTTTGATGTATCATTCGATTTGGTTCTGCTTTCCGCCGACGATGCCTTATAGTTTAGGCCCGTATAGATTTTTGTGTCAATCTGCAAAAGCACTGCCAAATAATCATGTAGTTAAAGTTTCACAATTTGTGGAGTGGCGCAACCATCATCGCCATTAATAAAGACTCTCTTAAATCTAATCCATAAATGTAATCCCTAAATCTTTCTGGACTTACATCAAACAAACGAAACTTCGGTGAAAGCAATGTGAGTGCCTTATTCATGCGGAAACAAAGTAAGTCGAGGATATTCAATTGACCCAATTAAAGTCGATATAAAGTCGATCCTTGGGTCGCTTTTATCTTACTGTCTGCATATAAATAATGAATCGAACTTAGCGTCTCCTTTAAAATCCGTGAAATGAATTTGAAATTACGAAAATTGGATTTGCCGTTTTTGAGAGATCTCGCGTTCTGTGGAAAACCACTATAAGATAAACAATTGCTAAATTAATAATCTATGCAGCAATCAATATCTTTTTTTTTTTTCCAAATTTACACTTAAGAATCTCAAGCTTATAACCATCGAAACTGTTATTCTCCATGAAGCAAATATATAACAGGTCGACACCTTAGTTAC